CTTTTTCGGAGTTTGCAGAATTTTTTAAAAGGAAAAACTTTTGAGGATGAGAACAATGTAAAAAAGGCTATTTCTGAATATTTTGATTCAAAACCGAAATCATTTTACAAAGACGGGATTAAAAAGCTACCATCAAGATGGCAAGAAATTGTACAAAATAATGGTGAATACATTATAGATTGAAATAAGATTTAATTAAAATTTTTTGTTGCTTTTTTTGTAGATAAAAATGCGCACGAACTTATGGACTGACCTGATAATATTTTTATCTCATTTTCTGTATTGTTTTTAGAAAGCTAGAGTCGTGCGAGGAGCAATTTGATCCTGATAATGATGATCGGGATGATTTCTTTGATTGTGACTTGGAAAGTTACCAAGAAACAAACTATTCGGATATTGTTCTCGATCTTTCCGAGGATTGTTTCGGCTACTCTGATTCTCATTGGCGACAAGTCGATAAAAACGAATGTGAGAATCATCATCAGAAAGTCGAGCTGGAAGCTGTTAGACATTGTCTCGACAGGTAAGATTTTTATGTTTATTTAATACGTGTTATATTATTTTCTGCGTTGTTTCTATATTATAGAAATGAAATACTTTTAATAATATATTATCGAAAAACAAAGATTATTATTTATTATTAAAATTAATATTTTAATAGTTTTCGATTAATTTGAATTTTTCATTTTGATACAGCAGGGTAGCCGATGTGAATGCCAGTCAATCAAAGGAACATGCACCAGAGGGGTGGAAAATTCCCTAAATTGAAGAAACTTTTCAGATTCTTCTTTTGGTATGTATCTTTAACTTATCTATATATATATAAATGGACGTGCGTGTCCCTATATTTCACTTTTCCGCAAAAACTACACATCGCACATGAATGCTGTTTGTATGTGGTGGTAGCCCCAAGTCTCCATTCGTGCACTATGGGGGTTGCGTCTCGATAGCTATAAGGGTGCGGGAGATATGGGGCTGAAAGTGGTTTTCTATTTCGAATGTTATGTTCGAATTTGAACATAAAATTCGAATATTGGTTCGATTATAGAACGATTGTAAACGTTCCAGAAACGTTGAAAAGAGTTCGTTTGACTGGACGTGAACAGGAGACGTTCAGAAATAGAATCGGGACCGGGTGTCTAATTAGTCTGGAAACGGGGGACCTAATTCTTGCATTCTGTGAAAACGGGTAAGATTGACTATAATGCAATTATCTTAATCTTCACTATCGTTACTTTTTGTCCACAAATAAAAACCCAGCGAAGCGGGTCCTTGCAGCTAATTCTAGATTACTTAGAAAAACAGTCTTTTATATATAAAAACAACTATATTACATACAAATGTACGAACAACTAAAAACCGCTGGGTTTTTAGTTTTTAGAAGCGGGTCCTTGCAGCTAGTTTATTATAATATATCTTTACCAATTATTCTGAATTTAATTGTTGCAATTCCATGACAGAACTCCGTCCCTATGGAGAAGTCTGTTATTTGCAGACCAGTTCTGCTGTATATAATGTACTGTACATAGTTCATCTGTAAATATCATCATCATTTTCATCTGTACATATTCATCGTCATCGTTTTCATTCTTTTTTTTATTTATTCATACGTATGATTCTTTTCGTGATTATTTCAAAATTTATAAAAGTCTGCATTTCGGCAATCATCATTTAAAAAATCCAACTTATGACACTTCTAACACCAATTGTGACTTATATCTACTGGACTGACATTATGATACTGAACATATCAAATGTATTTTTCACAAATTTGACACATATCCTGGATCAATACGTGCCACTTATAAATTGACTAACGTATTATGACACAACGATTATGGACATACCAATTGCGACTAACGAATAAAGACGCACTGATTGTGGACACACTCGAGTAACAGATGACGACATCCCCGATATAAGACATACCAATTGCGACCAATTTATAAAAACGCAACGATTATGGACAGACTCGAGTAGATGATGATGATGACATCCCGATTTATGACGAACTAACTGTATGCTGATTAACTATGAACTCTATCAATAAATTTATTTTTCATTGGTTCGGTTATGAAAGTAACTGTCTGTATAATAAATAAAAATCAAATAAAATATAGAAAGAATTTTTATAATATTTACATTGTCTCTTCATTGTTTAAAAGCTATTTTATTTGACAATATTATTCAATTAATCTACACAACGCTTACAATGTAAAGAGGTAAATAGATTTATAAATAAGTCGACACCCCAAGGGGAAGTGGAAATGTGTCGAGTTATCCGATATGACGACTAAAACAAAGATGAATAAAAAAACCCGCAAAACTACAATTAGGAAAATATTATAGTGCTTTATACAGTACATGCAATATATCTCTCTGACCATCCATCACTGACACTAAAGTTGGTTTCTACTCCAAATACCTCAGCGATTTCCATTGCATTTTGTTTCAGTATCAGCCCTGAAACAGAAGATTCGATGAACAAATTTGCTTTAGCAAACGTACCAGATCATCTTCCACATCTTCGTACGGCGACTTTTCTCTGGCATTTTCGTGACGGCCGCGACAAAGACCCAAGAAAAAGTTTAATTTCCTCTTTTTTCTTCAGAATTCCCACCAATGTCGTTGTTCTTAGAAGGTTTTCTTGTTTTGCAAATTCGGCTTGCAAAGTTTTATTACATTCAAATTCAGATAATACAAGTTCGTAGTTTTCCTTCCGCTTAAGTGTTGTTAGGTTTCAGATACTCATTTTTAACAGAAATGTGAAAAACTTGCTGCAAATAACGCATGAATGAAAGGTGATAATATGCAAAATTGGATTCTGCTGTGACGTTAAGCTTAATATTGTGTGGTGTGAACTCTTTTTTTTTCAGAAGGGATGTCGATTTATCAGACGTCTAAATGAGTGTGGGACAGAAATAGTATGTCGATTTATCCAGTGATGACAAGTTAAACGGTGTTGATTAAAGCTTATGCTCTGAGCGTGATTCGCTGAAGAAAGCGAACCTTACCAATCAATGGTCCACCTTGAAGAGAATTTTATTTCCAAGCTGCCTTTATTGTACGGTGCTGGAAAAACATGCTTTCAGTTGCGTGCTTAGTATCACTATAAATAAGTTATAGCTTTTATGTCATTTCTAATTTTGTACTGGCTGATATCAAAATAAAATCTACAATTTTTGTTATGCTGAAAGCATGTTTTTTTGCATTACTTTTTTCAGACAATATTAGCAAAAAAACCACAGATTTAAAAAAGATAGTGGAATCCCTGATTACATGTTAGTGTTGTAACAAATAGAATGACAAAATGAGATGGGTTTTTGCATGTAGCTTCTTAGCATGCAAAAACCTCATTATGGCACATACCTCACGTTTAGCAGATGATTATGAGAGCAGCCATCTTTTCTTTTAGTACTGCATTTACAGAAACTGCCTGCATGCAGCTGTACATCCACCAGATTATGACCAAATATTCCTCCTCCATACCTGTGGAAGAATATTCCGCTCCGATCACCAGTACCATCTTATGACACTTTCAAAACTTATTTTCTGGATGCACATTATATACTTCCCATATTTCTAGTGTTCTGTTTATCAATGTCTACGATTTTCTTATTTAATTTGGCATCATCCCATTGTACAGACACTCTGGGCTCTATTACATATTAGGCTAGAGTCATCACTGTTTTATTATTGACAATATCATACTTATATTCTGCCAACCTTCATGCCCAAGCTCTGTTAGGGGATCCTATGTATATGAGGTTATGGTTAAATCTGCTATTGTATAGTGATATGGAGTAGACTCCTGATGTTTTTTTAAAAAAATAATTATCTTTAGTATTCATGAAGAATCTGAAGATCATTGGATTATGTTTAAAGACAATTGAGGTATTGGTGTAACTTGATGTTCTTTTATATGTTGCAATCAAGTTGAGTGGAAATCCATCACAATCTACCTCTTATTTGTTCCTTGTAGTATTTGATTTGTATTGTTTATTGTGTTTTCATTGTGTTGCCCATCCATTATAAATTCTTGGCCAAAGCCAGAACCACCACTTTGTTAAATAAATGTCTACAAGCTATGTCTGTAATGCATTTAAGCTCTTTGTTGGTGTCAGACAGGTCTAAGCAGTGTGTGGAAAGCAACACTTTGAAATCACTTTTAAACAATCCATTATGTGGATATATAATTTAATATCATAGTTATTGTCAAACATACAAATGGCTGCATATTATGTTATTTTAAGCCACAATTTATGTTTTATACAAAATTATTGTGGGGTTTAAAAAATTATTTTTAATTTTTGACATTGGTGGCATTGTTTGATGATGTAATGATAAAAAAATGGACTGTTTGTTTTAAAAGATTTTGATTCCAGAATCTTGTTTTTTAAAAAAATATTTCAAATTCCAAAAGTTTGGTTAAAATGAAGAAAGTCTTCTATAGAAGCCAGATACTGACCCCTGAACACGGCTGAAATATTTGCATTTTCTTTTACAATGCTGTCACTTCTGGAAATGTATGAAAAGTCAGTTTGTTGTCACTTATTTAGAAGTTCCAGTTTTAAGAATAATTTTATCTAATTTCTAATTGAATAAAACAAAAACTCTAATTTTTGCTTTGTTAACAAGCAGTTTAATTTTTAAAATTTAAATATGGTGTTAAATAGATAACCCACGAATAATATGGCAAATTAACATTTTCACTGCTTCCACCAAAAAAGTTATGAAAAAATGAATTGACTTATTTGGTACAAGACAAGACACTATTATACCCAAATTCAAAATAACTTGTTAGTGCTTAACCCACCTTTATGAGCAATGCTAATGTTGCAAGAAAAAGCACTGTTAGTCAAATTGTTCTATCAGGATGATGATAATGCAGATGCATCCCTTAGAGAATTCTGGCAGATGGATCTGTTCACACTGTCCACAAAATGATTGATGAATTTGAAGCAATAGAATGTCTTGATGGTCTAGAGGGCAAAAACGAGTAGACCCTTCTTGTGTTGAAGACATGGCTACATCTGTCATAGATTTGTCCAATCAAATCTTACACCACTCCATGCTCTATTTCATCACACAGCTGTTTTCCATGGATATTGAGTATTCAGTAACAGGATGCAGAAATTTGTATAACATTTGCACTTTAGTTCCTGGTATTTTGCCAACTGTAGCTACTTATTGGACAACAGACAGCAGCTGTACAAACAGATGCACTTTAACCTTGCGAGCCACTGCTCAAAAAATCAGGAGAGTCTTATGCCATTTACAAGGCCCTTGACTATATTGACATCAACATCAGTTGGCTAAAAAAGGAGGAGGATTAACATAATCACAGATAGTAAGGTGACTCTTCCAGATCCATAACAGGAACTTAAACCTCAAAATCGTCAAGGATATCACAACCTTCTTGGTTAACCTGCAACAAAAGCTGTCAATAAATTTCTACTGGATAAAAGGACATTCGAATAACAAGTGGAATGACCTTGGAGACCAACTCGCAAGGGTGGCCCCGAAAAGGCTCACCTCTAAGGCTTTCTCTCTGATCCCTGCCTCTTGGATCACTGAACACTTCAATCAACAAACCACCAAAGATTGGCAGGATAAATGGGATACCAGTGAAACTAGTAGGCTCATTCATCAGTTTCTCCTGAAGGTTACCTCTTCCTCTCTCTGGCACCTGACACCAACTTTCCACCTTACTCAACTTATCACTGGGCATGGGAACTTTAATGCACACCTGAGAGGGTTCCTGGGTAGAAGCGATGGTAAATGCCCTCACACTGTCCTCAGGAGGATGATACTCTTATGCACCTCCTCTTCCATTGCCAGCGGTATGAAGAACAGCACCTTGAACTAATGACCAGTGCCCTTAAAAATAATCATCCCTGGCCATGCCAGCCATTTCTTCTTCTAGAGAATAGACTGCTTCTAAAAATGTTTCTGAACTTCATCTCAACCATGGACAACTTTAAGAAGATCCAACACCCATCGCAGAACAGCACAGAGTGATATTCATCATTTGGTTCTGCAGATAACTCTTGTCTTGCTGTATCCTCTCTGTAACACCACTTCTGTGATGACTATTTAAATCTGTTATTAATTGTAAAAGCACACTTCATTATAAATAGCTACATTTAATTGTTCTCCCCTATGTAGGAAATTTTGTAGCTATATTTCTCTCTTAATAAACGGTACCCAGGAGGGTGCTCATGCGTCTTGCTTCCACTTCCTCCTTCATCTTTCAAGACTTCCTTTCCCCCCTCATGCCCTTCTTCCTTTCCACCCACCCTTCTCCTAACATCATTTCACCCACTATTTCTTCCCTACTTTAAGGCTATGCCTATTTGTGTAGCCCGTTTACTTTTCCACCTGTAACCTGTAGCTACTTGTTGCCAAAATAATGTAATGACTTTTTGAGGTCTGTAGCAATATAGCAGCACCTGTGACAAATGAGCCAAAAATAGTGAATTTTTATACTTTTATATATCCATGTAAAAATAGAATACTCAAATTTTACTTCAATGCAAATTCAATTCTTATTTATGATTTTTCATATCTATAATTATTTTTATATTACATGATTTCAATGTGCCCTCTATTGGAGATAGTATCATTAGTACAAATTATTGTAAATGGTATTCTATCGGTATAATTAAACAGATGAAGATAAGATGAATTATAATTTGTCCATATTTTTAATAATAAAATTTTTTTTATAGTTTTTTAATAGTTTTTAACTCTTACAAGGAAACCCTATGACTTTGGGGAAACGGATTTTGATGATCTTTGGTGTAGAGGTAGTACACCATGTGAGTGCACTATCTGTAAAATGCTAAAGTGCAACACTCAAATATAATCAAGAAAAACAAACTTAAAGTTTTCTTTAGCACTTTATATGTAAGTTACGCGTATTTCTGCTTGAGCATGCTGTGATGTGAGTGGTAATGCTCCTGACTCGTACACTCGTGTGCTCGGGTTTGATTCTCTTGTTGTGTATACTTTCTTCCATTTTTTTTTTTATTCATAAATACTTATAATGTATTTATTTATTTACTCATTCATTTATTTCTTATTATTTATTGATTTTTTTGGTATTATTTTGTTTTTTTTGGGGGATAATTTTGTCTCGTTTCAACAAAGCGGTCATACGTCCAAGAATCAATCAAATGATATTTATCAAAAATAGTTCCACCACATTCAACATCTTTTCCCCATAATTTTAAATGATCCATTCTTTTCAAATGACTACATCTGTTTTTTTGTAATGTTTGTAGTTTCCACGTAGGATGGGTTATTGCTACTTTTAAAACTTAGATTTTATATTCCAGTGAAATATATTCCTTCATTCTATATATATATATATTTTTTTATCAGGTACAGTACATAGTCATCAGATGAGTCATCTTTAACTGCTTTGAAATTTCCTTCTGTACACGCTTCTTGGGTATAAATTAATTTGTCATCAATTATAAAGTTTTTTTCATTCAACACATCCAATGTATTATTGTATAATTCTGTGCCTATCAGCAAAGCATCTTCAGATAGTGTATCAGAAGATGTTGTTGCAATTATATTATTTTCAAAAAGTAAATCTCATAATACACTACTCCATCTTTTAGCCGCTGCTTCGATACATCACTGTATAAAGAATTATCATCAACAGTTTTTTTGTCACAACTTGAAGAACTTGCTTCTCTTGATGACATTTTTTTAATTATAAAATAATTCTTCAAAATAAATTTCACTGCACAAATACATCTATTCGTGTCAAAATTCAGAAATGAACTGTTAAAGAGTGAGTGAAAAAGACTATAGACCCATGTTCAAACCCAGCATAAGTAGCTCCCTCTTGATGACATTTTTTTAATTATAAAATAATTTTTCAAAATAAATTTCACTGCACAAATATGTCTGTTTGTGTCGAAATTCAGAAATGAACTGTTAAAGAGTGAGTGAAAAAGACTATAGACCCATGTTCAAACCCAGCATAAGTAGCTCCCTCTCAACTTGACAAAGGTGAGTTTTCAAAGTAAAAATATTAGACTTANATTGAACCCGAGCACGCAAGCGTATGAGTCAGGAGCATTACTACTCATGCCACAGCACGCTCAAGCAGAAATACACATAACTTATATATAAAGTGCTAAAGAAAACTTTAAGTTTTTTTTCTTGATTATATTTGAGTGTTGCACTTTAGTATTTTACAGGTAGTACACTCACATGGTGTACTACCTCTACATCAAAGATCATCAAAATCCATTTCCCCAAAGCCATAGGGTCTCCTTGTTAGTAGTTTTACAAAATGATTTTTTAAAAAAATAAATCCATTTTATTGTCATTTATTTGTAAAAAAGTAGAGGTGGAACCACAACCTGGACCTAGTAGTGCAGATGATAAAAACTAAA